TGTACTTTCGTCGATAGACTACTGTATATAATTGTAATCATATGTTACTATTAATAAAGACATACAGGCAAGATGCCCTTAAAAAATAAAAAACATTAATTAAAGTACCTTCAACTACAGTCACACTCCTATATAATCACACCTTTGAGATTCAAAAATTGGGTAATTATATAGAGATGTGACTATATATAAAATTCTCTATAAAATCACCTATATATAAAAAATAACTTACAGTGATTATATAGAATATATACTGTCTATATGCATAAAAAAGTCTCTGATGGATGGCATGCAATTAGACAGTATCGACTATATTTTATTATTGTTATTTTATAGTAAATCTAATATCTAAGAATTTGTCAAAATAACCTAGCTATGTAATAACAATAAGTAAAATTTTTTTAGTATCAATTTGCTATAGAATAAATAAACAATTAAAAGTTTAATTTAAATAATTTAACAAAAATAAAGTTAAAGTAATCAAAAATTGTTCATAACTTAAGATTTGTATAAATAATAGAATTGCTTAATATTAAAATCAAGCAATTTTAATAGATCTGCATGTTTGAATTTGATACATGTTTAATTATTTTATAGGAAATGGAGCTTTTTAATCAAAAGCAAAGCACTGCAAAAAGATTTATTAATCTAACTAATTATTGAAATTACAAATTTAATTTCATATCTATTGCTACCAAAATTTTCTACATTTATATTAAGCCTTAGTTTTAAAGAACAAGACTTATTAGATATTGCAGTTTAAATTCCATCTATAATAGTGTCTCTTTAATTTTACAAATACTTATTATATTTGCATTTTTGTAGATACTGTGGTTACTAAATAATAATTAACAATAAATATAATAAATATTTAATTATATGAGTGTAGCTAAAATAAACCCCAAAAATTTAAATATGAATCATATTTAAATTTTTGGAGTTTCTTTTAGCAACACTCATATACCATATTACTTTAAAATAAAGCTCACCTCTAAATTTCCAGAATATTTATCACCAAAATAAAGGAGAAGATCAGTTTGCTTTTTCGATGCATTTTTCAATTTTTCAAAATAATATATTTTTTTGCGTAACAGATCCAACTCTTCTGGTTTAAATCCATCATTACTTTCTCTTTGTTCCTGAAATCGTACAAGAGTATGCAATGCATTTATTGCTTCTGATAAACTTACTGAGAATGCTAGAGGCATATTATCTTCTTCAGAATCTGTTACCACTGGTGCAGGATCAAACGTATCATGAACCATCGCAAGAATTTCATCATCATTTATTAAATCTTTTGTTAAAAGAAGTTTATCAACAATTCTACAATATAACTCTAAATCTTTTATAAGATCAGATGCAGTTGGGTCTCTGTAAAAAAAAAAAAAAAAAAATTTAAAAATTTTATTTTTATTTATTTTTTTTTTTAATAAATAAAAAGATAAAAAACCTATTATCAGTAAAGTCAATAGTCTCATATTCATCATCAGTATCCATTAAAAATGGTTCCAACTCCAGTTTATTGCTATGAGTTAAATCTAAAAGTATACTGATAAAATTCCAACAATTTTTAATCATAGTATCGCTTACTTCATTCCATAAATGTGCAATAAAATCAATGGCTTGTTTGATATTCAACTTATTTCTATAATTTAGCATACAATAAATTAATAAATTAATAAATTAATACAGCAAACTATAAAAAATATATTTAAAAAAATCTACTTTTCTAAATCACATTTCATTTCAAACAACTTCAAAACATGCTGAGAATAAAACCGTTTATATTTTGATTTAAAGCTTTTAATTATGCCTGCATCTATTGGTTGCAAATGAGAAGTAGTATTTGGTGGCAAATAGTGTATAGTTATATTAGTTAATACAGTATTAGTATTTGAAATTTCTTCTGAGTCTGCAGAGCTTAAAAAAGCATATGAAGGCACATTATCAACAATAAGCAAGATCTTTTGTTTTGACTACGAAAAATACTATCAATGTATCATAACTATTCTTCCTATATATTTGATCTAATCTATGCCTTCTGATTAGAACGATAAATTACTAGAAGCTGGGAGATATTAATATTATTAAAGCATCATAGTTTTTTAGATTGTCCAATTACAAGTGGTCTAAGTTTATGCATTCCAGTAGAATTGGTAGCAAGTAGCACAGTAACTCATGCTTTATCCTATTAAAAAATTAAAAATTAAAAATTAAAAATAAAATCATAATAATGATAATAATAATAATAATAATAATAATAAACTTTACCAATTTTCTTTCATGTCGTTATCTGTTTGAAAGTGTTTAATTTGGAAGCATGCAAAAAAAAAGCACAGTTTCATCCGCATTGTATATATCATCAGGGTGGTATTGAGATGTAATTTCTTGTAGTTGTGATCGAAACTCTGGTAAAGATTCAAGTGATGAACTTTTAGATTCT